TAGGAGGAAATTAAGGTCAAGGTCAAAGATCAGGGTTATGTTCTTTATTTTGAACTTTGCTTATTATCTTCATTCCAAAGAAACTGCAATAGTTAATAATAAGAGGTTTTTGCCAAATAACTGTTTACACATTGGCGCAACTTCAAGGCATTAAGTCGAAGTGTTTCGGTGACCCCTTATAGGATTGTTCTCCCCTATATATTTGAAATCAGTATAACTTCTCAACCATACATGTGAATGACTTAGGGTCTTTCGATTTGAGATCAATGACATTGAAATCGAGGTCAAGGTCAAAGGTCAATCTGACGTTCTAGATTTTGACCTTTGCAATAACTTGATACTGGTTCATTATAAAACTATTAGGTCTTTTGCATTAGGTTGGAAGACATATGACCTTTAAAAAGGCCAACCAAAAGTGACAGTTTTTAAACCGGAAGTAGCCATTTTTACACTAATTTAATGAAAAAGTACCTAGAAACCATATATTTTTAGAATCAGTTTGAAGTAACTGATCGTATGAACCAAAAGTGATATCTTCTAACACTGTTGTTTTTAAACGAAGGTTACTTTATAACAGTTCATCTAATCCTTTAATATCAAAATGTGAGATGGAAAGACCTTCAATTGTTCTATTAATTGGTTTTTAATTGTGTCTGGTTTTCTTTGAATTATGATTTTTATTCTTTTTCTTGGTATCTTTCTCTATTTTGTATTCAACATCAACTTGGATAAACATACACATATGCGTCATGTGATCCTCTTGGAACACAAAGTTGAACTCCCTTCTAAAATGTTCCTCTAGATATTTTTACAAGATAATTAGCTGACTATTAAGTGAGATTTGGTTGTATTTGCCAACCTGCTAATGGATAAAGAGGATTTTTTTATAGATTTTCCCTCAACTTCCATAAGGCAAACTGAAAATCACTATGCATTATTGTGTATAAGCTCAAACTATGTATAATTATATTTGTTTATAAGAAAAAATTGCCACATCAAAATCACAAGCCTTAATCTTTGTATATTCTAAACAGTTCAACAGAAGAATAATACAACAATAGAACTGAAAAACAAACTTTTACAGCCATAAAGCTTTTGATTGATAATTTCAAAACCCACTTAGGAAGCAGTGCAGTTGTTATATATATCGTATTCCAAATCATCTTATATATAGTCTGATGATGTTAAATAAAAATGACACTTTATAAATTTCATGCGTCCGAATCACTTTTCAGAGTTTATCTTCACAAGAAACGATCAAAGACCAAAACAAAATGAAAGTCAAAGATGTATAAGTTTCTAAACACGACAAAAATCTGTATGACCAAAACAATCTGCAATTTACTGGTAAAAATTGTAGTATTCTGTTTTATTTCTGGGGTTTTCTATCTCTAAAGGGAAAAAAAAATACGGCGTTTATTTTTTGTCAATGAATATAGAGTCAATGATAATAGGTCATGTACTATTTATGAAAATTAGATTTTAATTTTGATACAATACAGTTATGCTTAATAAAATGCGTACATCATGATTTTTGTTTCTTCGGAACTTACACTATTCACAATGGTCCTCCTTTATTACATAATTAACTGATGACGCTGCTTAATTACGATAACTTATGTTTACTATCACTACAGCTGTCTTTATTCTTTTATGGAATCTCGTCTCGAAACATGATTAAATTATCTTAAAGGATTGATCAGATGTACAACCGTTAACTTTTGATATCCATATCTAAATTTCAATTACATGTATAAAAAACTTGAATGTTCACACTAGCGATGATATCTTCTACTCACTAGATTCCTGAATATTCAACCTCATAAAGTTTGGCTTTAAAATTTTCCGGACTATCATAAGCACCCCCACATCCTATAAAGAGGTGTCCTGATTTGGACAAAGCAAGTGAATGTGGATACTGGATTCCAATGTCATATACACAGTAGTATGAAATGAATTCTCCATCATTGTTTAAAAAATGGACTACATGAATCTTCCAATCTGCAATCAAAAGGTTATCTGATGGTGTAGCTAGTATGTTTATTGGCATAAATGGTTTGTCTTCAGTATTGACATCATGGTGACCAGTATAAATCCCTTTGATATTTCCGGCCTGACCAATCACAACCACTCTTCCTTTGAAATCTGTTTCTAATGTATCCACTACACAAATATTTCCATTTCTGGTGCTTGTTAGCCTATAAGGATCTGTAAATAAAGGTTTGTTGTTACTATCTTTTTCATATTCAGTTAAACGGTTTCCTGCTTGATCCATTACAAAGACAATATGTCTTTCTCCTGGCCATGAAGAATTTGCTGATATTAGGACTTTCTGGTCTTTAGTATTATGGATATCACATATTTTCATCTGTGCAATATTAAAAACAGAGTCAGTGAGTTGTTTTGTTCTTGCCTTCATCAATTTTAATTTGTTTCCACCGGTTGACACAATAATGTTGCTGGATATATCAACTAATAAGCCAAAAATCTGAATGCTGAATCTTGATAATACCTCAACATTGTCTCTTTTAAGCGCAACATGATGTAACACTTCATTTAAGTTGTCTGCCATCCATAGAGTGTCATCAGGACATTTGCCAATGAAATGAACATTTTCTAACTCTGTGGTCCATCGATTTGTAACTTCTAGTTCAACTTTTGAATGGTGTTCTTTCATTCCTTTAATACCTTCTAGTTTTCCAAAATTAAGCACTGTAAATTCTCCAGGAACAAAATTTGGTAAGGACGAAATATTCGTAGTTTCTTGTGACATTTCTTCGTTCAATGAAAAATTCAGTTTATCAAAATCTCTGAAGAATTTCGTAAAATCTCTGGATGTGATGATACTTTCCAAAACCCTTTTCTTCAAATGCATAGCTTTTATCTCTTTATCTTTTTTATTTTTTTCTTTATGTTCTAAGGTTCCGAAATGTTGGACGACATCTTGAACAAGATTATCAGCATACTGATCCACTGCCTTGTGTATTTTTATCTTCTGGTCTAAAATATTCTGAACACCGTCTGGTTCAACTTGTCAATTTTCTGATTTGTCAAAATTCAAGGGTTGAACTGAGTAGATATATTATTCATTATAGAATACCATTTAACATTCAACATTGTATGCAATGCGCATTTTATTTAAAATGGATGAAAACGTTAACACAGAATATATTCATATTAATGACCCCATTAATATGATCCACTTACAAAAAATAAAATAGCATTGTACGGTGATAATTTTTTGAGTGACAGAATTCAGTCACCTGATTGCATCTTTATATCACATAATTCAATAAGTACAATAGAAAGTAACATTACCATTTTATTCGTAAAATATCTATCAAATACATTTGTACTTGTTGCTTCTTAACTAAAACCTATTACTGTTAATTCAGATGAAACAGAATTCGGATTATAGATTAATACAAGCAACATATAACAGGATAACAGCTAAATGAAATTAACTCTTTATCCTGTTCATTATTTTCACAAAATGTTGACTGAATTCAGTCACACAGCATTTGATAGAAGCTACAAGAAATTGTACTAAATTAGAGTGTTTTCTAAGACTTAAATTACACCAAGTGTGATTACATAGTATACACATCTATAATACAGATGACTGAATTCAGTCAATACAAATTCAGGAAATATTTGTTGAAAAGACCAATTCTGCAGCAGTAAAAAAAAATATAATGACTGAATTCAGTCACAAAATTAGGTTTACACATTTATATTCACTAGAGCATCAACTCATAGCAATGTGTATTGCTGTTTAGTTCAGTCAGAAGTGGAATAATTTAGGGATGTCACTCTAGTAACCATTTATAAAAAGACACTGGAAATTATTTCCATGGCGATTATCCCTCCCCCAATCACTGTCTATTGATTTCGAAAATGCATAGTTAGTTTACAGGTTTATGTTTGTGATTTGGTCAGTTTAAGGCTGAACATTAACGGTTATTACATTAGATGTGCAGTGGTACTAGATTTTGCACATCTCATCTCCATAATGATTATTTTCCCTCCCCCAGTCATGATTCGTTGACTTTGAAACTTTTACATAGGGTCGATTTCTATACTTTAATATATCAGAATACTGATGAAAAATGGGTAAGTAGTCATTTAAGTATTGTAATTTAAATTTCAACATTTGCATAATATAGATCTATCAAAATTGCACACAGGTGATTCATATCTCTGTATATATTGATTGGTTACTAATACTTGCCATCAAAATGAAGTGAATTTTTGAAAGCTGTTGTTTTAAAATGATACTGTACTAAATAAATGCTTATTCTTATGGTGTGCTGTTACACACACTGTCCCAGCTAGGAGAGGGTTGAGCGATCACAAACATGTTTCACCCTGCCACCTCCGTTATGTGACTATCCCAAGTCAGGAGCCCGTTGTTCAGTGGTTGTTGTTGGTTCATGTCTGTCATATTGTTTTTCGTAAATTGTAATAAATTAGGCCGTTATTCTTCTCAGTTGAATTGGTGTTTAATGTCGGGGTCTTTTATAGATGACCATACAGTATGGATTTTTCTCATGTCGTTGAAGGTCGTATGCCTACGGTTACATCATTTGAACTTTCGTGGAAAGCTGTCTCAATGGTAATCAAATCAAATAGTTCCAAACTTTCCAATTTTTTTTTTAATTATTTATAATTTTATGAAAATGAATAAAAGCAACCTTTGGGATGAACTTTACCTTAACATATTAATTTTTAATTAAAAGGGTTTTTCATTGTTTAAGAAAACAAAAATCAAGCACAATTAACTGTTAAGATTCATTGGTAAGAACACAATTTGCAATTTCACCAAAATACAAAAAACACAAAATACAATGAAAGCCAGAATATACCATATGAAATGTGACAATGTTTTAAATGTAGTGTGTAACAACTAGAAGCATCAAGAAGTCTGACTTTCTCACTTAGAAAGGTTAAAAAAAATTGATAAAAACATTGGGAAAAAATGAAAATAAAATGAAGTGAAATCAATTTCAACATTTTTATTTTAATGTCTGGATAATATTATTTATTCAATGTAAATCCAGTAAAAACAATTGTTGTCACTTCATAAATTTAAAAAAGCTTGATTTTTTTTCAAGCGAAAAGCGGTTAAAAACTGGATCACACTTGAGACTTACATGTTCATCTTTTAATAATGTTTTGTAGATCATCACAGTATTTAAAGTTTAAAAAAAACTGTTTCACAAAAATAGAGATTGTCTAAATTCAACATTGTGATAATATGTATCATTTTGAAATTTCTTCTTTCAACTATCCCATATTAATTTCAATTGTGCTGGCATTTTGTAAAGATTAACATTATCCCACTTAAAAGAGACAAGAATGTGTTCAGTTGTTGTTTGTTCAAGATTTTGGAATCAATGTACCAGTCTGCTACTCCTGTCCAAAATATCCATTAAACCAATCGAATGTGTTGCTGTCACTTTTGTTACTTCTATTCATGGTAAATTCTCCAGACTGTCTGGTCTGATCAATATCCATTGTTCTGCTTGAAGATGCTGTGGGTACTCATAGAAAGTAAAATCTAAAAAAGAAAACAAATTATTCTAATGATCTATTTCCGAAAAAAAAAGATGATTTAGATAGTGAGGATAATACCATTCTTTGTAAATGCATTTCTATTCAGAGTAACGGTACATGTTGCTTCATTTTTTTTAATTACGTTACTTGTAAAAACACCTTATTTCATAAAAGCATATATTTTTTTTAATTTTAAAGTTTAGTTTAATTACATCAAATACCAGAAACAGTTGATGATTTTAACTATTGCTATATGTTCAACAGCTAGCCGGATTTGTTGAATAGCATCAGACAAAGGACATGGTACAAGATAAGGGACTTATATTTTGGCAGAATATTTTACTTAAATTCTTAATTTTCCTTTTAAATTGAGGAAATGCCAAATTAAAAACTACTATTTTTCGGTCAGTGTCATCACAATCCATCAAAGTTATACACTCTTATGAAGAAAAACCTTAATTTTGAATAAACAATTTTTGACTAATTTCAACAGGGTGTTTACAAAGGTATTGGCAGCATGAATGGACAACCATATGTTTTGTAATAGTGTGAATTTGAACCATATATCTAATTTGATAAGTTTTTATTACTCTTAGTATGTGACCAATATTATTCAGATAAAAAGGCCTATAAATGCATAAATACAGGCAATCTGGCTACAATGCATGTATTAAATATTCATTTTTTTAAACTAAAATTTCGAGGAAAAAAATATGTAGTCTTTTCAAATTTGCCTTTTTAAGATATGAATATAAGTCTTTGATTGAATATTGAAAAATTTGACATAAGGACCAAATATAGGACTTCTTGATCCTACTTCTTTCAAGAGGTCACATGTGCCATTTCAAAAGACGTTTATTTTTAAAGAATATTGACCTAATACATGTAATATTCATACTTGATATCTTAAACATATTGCTGGTATAAACCTTTGATATAAGTTTCATAAAATTCTGGCAAGAATTGAACAAATGAGAGCGCTAACAATGCAATTTTCCATATGATTAATATTTCCAAGGGCAATTGATTGGCACTGATTTTCGAACTCGTCCAAAACATTGCTAATATTTACCTATAGTATAAATTTTCAAAACTCTGGCAAGAATTGTTCACATTAGAGCATTCATTTGGCAATTTTCACCATAATTAATATTTCTAAGGGGCATAACTCTTTAAAAATAAATGAAAGGCACGGCTTTTTAAATTCGTTCAAGAAATTGCTAATTTAAAACTATGAAATAAGTCTCATAAAAATCTGGCATGAATTGTACACGTGACAGCGCTTAGTAGATGGGACGGAAGGACGGACGCCAATATTTCTATGTCCCCCGCAACGCGTTGCACCGGGGGAAAATATAGTCAATGTAAGTGTATATTAATTGTTGGATCACAATAAATTTCTAACTGTACTACTTGAAATGATTTACCACAAACTGGCATATCGATAAGGATCGCTTTACCAAAAGCTCTGGAAAGGTATTTTTAAATCTAATTTAAATGCTGGAAACCCTTGATACATATTTGATGATAAAGTTTAGAAAAACTCAGTTTTTAAGAAGTCTAGGTATGATGTTAGAATAGGTAACAGAAGAAACTAAACAAAAGGACAATGATACAGCAATTAACAAAGGACTACTAGCAGTTACTGACATGCCTGTTCCAGACCTCAATTATATGAAATCAAGATTAGGAATTTAGTATCATACCATCATAAAATATACAAGAAGAACATAACATGCATTTCTTTACTTTTTGTGTGTTTATGATTGTTTAAAAAATAAGGAGATGTGGTATGATTGCAAATATGACAACTATTTACCAAAGTTCAAATGAAGTGGATGTAGGCAATTAAAGGTAACTGTACGGCCTTCAACAATGAGAAAAACCCATACTGTATGGCTATATAGTACCGTAATAGTCGGCTATTAAAGGACCGACATGGAAATATAAAGCTATTCAATTGACATAACTAACGGCCTAATTTATAACAAAACAATTTACGAAAAACAAATATGACAGCTGTGAACCAACGACAACTACTGAACTACAGGCTTGATTTTTTTTTCAAAATAGTTATATAAAAATTAGAAACCTATTAAAAAGAATATGAAAGTTCTTCACACACACATAAAGATTCTAACATCAACCTCAGTTGGTCTCTGTTGGATACTTGTCTTACATATCTATATTCAAACTGTATCTTCTGGGCTTTTTTTTAATAGTAAGTCTAAACAGTCAGGGAAATTTTTGAAATAATCACTTATAAATAGCAAAAATATCAACTTAATTGGGGTCTGAAGCCTTGATAAAAAAATAATTTTGTATTTTGTAATTTTACTAAAATTTTAAACATACAGGTTTATATTATATCTTATTATGAGTAAAATTGAAAAAAAGAAACCTCTTTAAAATGATTCTTTGAAATAAAATAGAATTATTATATATATTTATACAAGTGATTTTCATGTCATTATCCCAGATTCAGTACAAGGTCATCACCTGACATGACCGGTCATCCTTTAAACACAGATGTTGGTTCTGATAATTTTAGCAAACGTGATTAGTCTCTGGATCATTAGTATATATCTAAAGTTACATAACATTCAAATGTTACTGAACCAGTGATTTAAGATATCACTCATTTAAGTAATTCCCCTGATTGTTAACGGTGATAAATTGATGTTATAAAAAGGAAATTTGACAAATTTATAACCTCACCTTTTTCTTTTATTTTCTTTATTTGAGGAGCACTGTTGATAATTCGAATACACTGCACCCAGGCCACTATTAGAACTTTGAGTTTTTCTTTTCTTTGGTGATTCATCTGTTTTAATACAAATTATACACAGTTTTAAACAGTGCTTAAAAATTAGTTAGAACAGTGCATACAAAAATAAGGGTATATAGGTCATTATCAGAGTGAATGAGAGTACCTTATGGTGCATTTTCAATAAGTTTTCCAAAAACGAGTTGACCCTGGGAGATTATAACGTACAACCACGTATAAAAATATAAAGAGCAAAATATCTTAAAATTGAAAAGTGTCAAGTCTTAATTTACTTTTAAGTTGTTTTGAAGTACATGTATACATAAGCAATAAGGATAGGCAGTGGAAATAAAGAAACTTTTCAGTATTAATTTACCCACAATAATGCTTATTATATCTGTACACTTATCATATTGACCACTTCTGATTTAAGCACTAGAGGGATATAAGTTTGCACAAAACTGGCACACAAGTGGCAGTAAGCTTTAACAATTAAACTAAATAAAAGTTATGGCTACTGGATCAAGGCAAATAAATAACCTAACAAATATAAATGTTGCCCAATTTCCTTTATAACATCCAGCAGCCATAACTTTCATTTAGTTTAAATTAGATAATGGTTTACTTTTACAAATTGTGACTTGGATGGAGAGTTGTCTCATTGGCACTCATTCCAAATCTTCTTATATCTATTGACTGAGGTCTTAAAACTTTGCAAATAGCATTCTCCGCAGACATATGCAATTATATAAAACATTCCAAACTGTTTTAATAACGGTCAGAAAGTAATAAAATTTGGCACTTAATATGCTACTAAGATATCATGCTAAGTAAATGTAAAGTTTCATTAGAAATACCAACATTTTGGTGTCTAATAGGCTTCAGACCACAATTAATTCCCCTTGTTCGTGGAATATAGTTCCCAAGTATTAAATTGGGTGTTTCTTGCGAACTATTCTGACTACTGTTTTGTTTGAAATGTTTACTTTTCAAGTGGTCCTATCAGTATCATATTACTATCCCTAAGAACTAAGTTAGTCATTATTCATGTTGATGGTCAATATAACCAAGGATATATAACTAAAATACTAATATACATCCTTGATAAAATGAATCATGCCAAAGGAATAAAGTTAAAATAAATTTCCCCTTCAAAAAGTGAGTATCGAGTTATTACTCACTTTTTTTACTCGATACTCACTGTTTTACTCGATACTCACTTTTGACAACTCGATATTCACTTTTTTAACTCGACACTTGGTCTCTACTAAAAGTAAATCTCGTCAATAGAACTATGAAAATTTCAATCGAATAATATTTGCCAGTATTGACAACTTGATGAGTATTATGATATGTGTGCAACTTAGAATTCTGCAACATCTCAAAATCCGAAGTGTTCACATAGATGAATAAAGAAATGTTAAAAAAAAATGGGAATGTTTGGCTACTCAAGACAAAACAATCCCGAATTAACTGTATACCTCCATTTCTTATTCATTAACATATACCATAACATAAAAATATGACAAACATTTTTGTATTCTAAATGAACTTGGGCACACCTCGGTTTTTTATATTCATATTCAGAAATCATATTTTAAATATCAATGAATTTTTTTCTCTTCATATTTTCTATGGATTAAAAAGTATATCTTACCAGAACTCTCCGGCATAAGTAAGCTTCGGACTCTTCTTCCTTGAAAACGAAATTCCATTCAGCTTATTTTCATTTCTAGGGGACTCCATCTTTCTCTTTCTTTGACCAAAGTACGCAACAGAATGACCTCGTTTACTGGTTGTGATAACAAAACACGCGCCTATATGGATATGACATAATCCCCCACTGGCCACAGCATAATCCTCGATTATTAGTGTATCGCGGAAGTTCTACAACTTTAAAGACGTAAGACATTTAAATGCATATTTTGTCCAAATTTCTACTTGCATTTTTCAGATTATTATATTTGAAAAAAATTTCATGAAAAAAAATCTAATTTATACTCCCAGTTTTCTAAAAGCAGACTAAAACATATTTTGTTTGACTCAAATCAGCTGCAACAGCATCAAAACAAAGAACAAGGAAGGTCATGATGTAACTTCAAAGCAATCCCAGCTCAGGATATCACTTACTAATGACTGCTGACCAGACAGAATAAATGATCTTTAACCAATTGATTAGATCAAGCTACTTAAATTAAATAACAGAACTATAGTGTAAAATTTATCATGAAAAATCAGTACAAAATCGAGGAAAATCAGTACTATAATCGGGGGAAAATCACTTTCTGCCGTACTCGGTTATAGGTAGTGTAAGAATAACCATAGAAGTATTCAATATAATACTTCCATGTTATTACTGTGTCTTGGGTCAGTCAGAAGGATATAACACACACTGTTTCATTAAGATTAGCATCCCCATGATAGTACTTATAATCAGATGATAAGAAACATGTTTATTGCCCACTGGATATAACCCTCTTGGTTCTATCATTATTGTCATATGGTGGTCATTATTCTCGAAATATCATATTTGTTGAAAGTATATTATATTTAAATCAAATGTTACCGTAAATTCATATTATCAAATAACTTCTTTTCACTGTTAAACTGCAAAGTTTTATGCAGCGTAATATTCTCAACTTTTTTTTTGGAGAGATTTAATTTCATCTTCAGACTGAAATGCAGTTTTAAAACTTTACTTGGCAGAAAGTCTATTGAAAATAAATCAAGTCGGACTTGCTTGTTATCGTGGGTGTTCGGTTGAAATTAACAATCGAACATAGTAAGAACTGAAATCGTGACAAAACCGCATAAAACGAATATTCTGTTGAAATAAATCTTCCAGCGAAAATATATTGTCTCATATACAACTTTAATTAATTTCAATTTTTTGACATGTATGTAGATATATTCTTCGTCATGAATTGATTGGATTCAATCTGATGCTGTGATTAGTTCAAATAAGGGGAAAATAAATCCCCACGAGAATGACTAGTTAATATTTCAAGCCATGCTTACGGATAAGTTGCTCAAAGTGGGATATTTTTTTATTTTACTTTTATGTGGAAATCGAGAGGTTCTTATATTGTTATTTTTCTCATAGTGCTATTATACATTCCTTTTGCGTAATTTAAGCCACATTAATTCATAAAATCAAATAATGAATTATAGAAAATATCGTTCTTATTACGGAAAATAATACGCATGACGTCCCGCAGAAAGTGACGTTTTGATGAAATTCAAGCATTCGGAATCCTTAGGTTTTATTCATGCAGTGCTATTAAAAAAAATTACCTACTCACCCCTACCTTTCCTTCCACAATTTTGATTACATATAATTTAGATTGTCATATTTTAAAATCTTTTAAACTCCTTTCTATATTTCATTGTTTTTGAAAGAAAAAAGGTACCGGTTAAATTTAAGAAAAATCTACAGAAAATTATTTCCCGCCAAATTTTCAATGGTTTATATCTCAAAAACAAGCACACGGACCCTTCATTATTTTCTGCTTTTTTAATTTCTTTATTTTTATACTATCACTATATAACAGTCTTCGAAAAAGCCTGTTACTTTAAAATGAATGGCGAATATCCTAACGTCAAACTACTCAAATCTGTAAAATAATAAACAGGCAATAAAACAATTTATAGTTCACTTTTTATACGCCCGTTTACGGGACGTATTATGGTGTACCGTTGACCGTCTGTCCGTCTGTCCGTCCGTCCGTCGTTAACATGTCGGACATTAATTCAAAAACGCTTTAACCAATATACATGAAGCTTTGGTAAATTGTTTATTTCTATCGACGTGAGCTCCCTTTCGTTTTCTATAAATTTCACATTTATCATTTCCGAGTTTTGGGGTTTATTCATTAAAAAAGGGAGGATTTTCCAGTTTTCGGACAATAACTCAAAAACAATTTCACTAATTTGCATGAAACTTTTGTGAATTGTTCATACCTATTGACGTGAGCTCCCTTTCGTTTTTTTTTTTATAAATTTCGAATTTATCGTTTCCGAGCTTTGGGGTTTTATTCATTAAAAAGGGGGGATTTTCCAGTTTTTGGACAATAACTCAAAAAAATTTCACCAATTTGCAAGAAACTTTTGTGAATTGTTTATTTCTATCGACATGAGCTCCCTTTTGATTTTTTATAAATTTCAGACTAAACGTTTCCAATTTATGGGTTTTTTTATTCATTACAAAAAGGGGGATTTTCCAGTTTTCGGACAATAACTCAAAAATGCTTTCAGCATATTGAAACTTTGGTAAATTGTTTATATCTATTTTTGTAAGCTTCCTTTTGATTTTTATAAATTTTCTATTTTAGGCTTCCGAGTTATAAGATTTTATTTGTTTATAGTCTGATAACAGATTTACTACGTATTACGCTACAGCAATGTGTATTGCACAACAGCAAGAAATCTTTCATGTAACCAATTTCAAGTTCTCTGACTACATTTATTCAGAAACCTATAATATATCAAATATTTAATTACAATCCAAATTCAGACCTGTATCAAGCTTGAATATTGTGTCCATTTTTGCCCAAACTGTTCAGGGTTGGACCTCTGCGGGCGTATCCAGCTGCGCTCAGCGAAGCAGTTTATTTCAATATATTATCACGAGCAAGATTAAAGTCGTATTGAATCGGGCGCACTGCATTTGCGCCAATTTTTACAAAATTCAAACTTTCTTTCGCGCCACTAGTTTATATTTCATTTGCGCCAAAAAATAAAAACCACATTTGCACCATTTTACAGGTAACATATATGAAAAAATTTAGATATTTCATTGCTTCATCGTGAATAAGATTTTTGTTGTAAGAGTATTTCCCTAGGTAACTAATTAATTTCATACTCATATAAAACTGTAGGTCACGTACGTAGGTTTGAAACTACATAGTGCTCACATGTATATCCACTTCATTTGAACTTTGCGGGTGGATATATAGTTGTCTCATTTGCAATCATACCACATCCTCTTATTTTTATATAAATGAGATAAGTCCGTAATTTTTAATGACCACACATATAAGTCATCCAGTGTACATGAGTACATCCATAGCCATTGCTTACAAGCCTTAATTCAGAACAACGGTAGTTTTGGTTTTACTCTAGTGTATAGACTACAGTGCTTTCTTTTGGGTTTTATGATCTCTATCACTGAGTTTTAAAGTTAGAGTGAAAAGTCTCTTATTATTAAGAAAGTATCTGTGTATAGTGCTTTGACTGATGTTACGATGACTGATTTAGGAGGAATATGTTTTATTATGCAATCAAAAAAATGTTAAAGTTACTATCTAAAGTCTCTTTTAGATAAAACTATTTTGATACTATATATTTACCTGGGACCGTGTCAATGAATTTGTCCCTGGAGTAGACCGTGTCTTAGGATGGTCTTAGGACACGTCTTAGTCCTAAGTCAGATTAACAGAAGTCTCCGTAAATAAGATCATAAACTTGGTCCTAAAGTTAGGATATATAGACAGGGACCGTGTCATCGAAGGTGTCTTAAGACTAAGATATGTCCTAAGATAATCTTAGGAGAATTTTGCTCTTAGCCGTGTTTCGAAAAGATCTTATCTTAGGATATGTTCTAATTTTGATCCCAACTTAAGGACTACTACATTAACAAGCTGTCTAAGGATAGTATTTCTGTTTGTATCCATCTGATAAGTTAAGCCTTTTTCAACTTATTTTTATAGTGCGTTCTTATGTTGTACTGTTACATCACTGCCCCAGGTTAGGGGGAGGGTTTGGATCCCGCTAACATGTTTTACCCCGCCACATTCTGTATGTATGTGCCTGACCAAAGTCAGGAGCCTGTGATCAGTGGTTGTTGTTTGTTGATGTGTTACATATTTGTTTTTCGTTCATTTTTTTGTACATAAATTAGGCCGTTAGTTTTCTCGTTTGAATTGTTTTACATTTGTCATTTCGGGGCCTTTTATAGCTGACTATGTGGTATGGGCTTTGCTCATTGTTGAAGGCCGTACGGTGACCTATAGTTGTTAATTTCTGTGTCATTTGGTCTCTTGTGGAGAGTTGTCTAGCTCATTGGCAATCATACCACAACTTCTTTTAAAAACACAGAGTGGACGTGGCAGGGTACTTGTATATCCCAACAACAAAAAGACAGTAAAGACTGATCTGAGAGTACTCGCAGCTACTAACAACTAATAAAAAAATCATGCATCTAAGACTAAATTATCAATCAGTACACATCCAATGGATTTAGTGTAAAGACGTCATAAACAGTCAGAGAAAAACATGACCATGAGCAATGCCAAGATACAGGTATCGACAGATTGTAGATCCATGACAATTTTAACTTTTAGGATAATTTTATGATGTCCTAGCATATAAACAAACATGGCTGTCGCCATCATGCACTGTGATGTGTCTGTGTCTGTTAAATTCGGACTTCTTTTCTTACTCATTCTGTAGGGTTACGGTACAGCAATACAAAATAGATAATTTATGTCCTGAGTTTTTATACCAAGATTACACGAGATTCCCCTTTGAACTAAAAAATCTAAACAGCACTTAGGACTACGATATGACATCTTCGTTAAGATTATCTTATGATACCTTCGATATACAGTCTGAGATATATCATAAGACAGTCCTATAATTTGTCCTAAGATATATCTTATGACAAATCTTATGACACTTTCGATGACACGGCCCCAGGGGTGTCTTAGGATGGTACGAGAATAGTCTTAACAGTTACGATGTACTAAGTCGAAATAGAAACATTAAAAATATATATTATATATATTATATAAACAAGTCTAAATTGAAAACAACGTTCAAGCCTATGATTGCGTTGGATAAAAACCGCAATTTTTATACATGTGCATGAAAAACAAATTTCTTGGTAGAGTGGTCTAAATACATCACAAACAACATTTTCCAAAAGACCAAAAAAGTGAAAAAGTATATTTTAAGAAAACGTATTTGACTAACAGGTCGAACAACGGATGTTCTTAAACTCTGCTGACTGCCATTGGCGATTGCCAAATAAA